CTGGTATGTCATCTAGTCAGATTACAGCTTCACTGTAACCCCAAAAACAACAATATATGTTCTTCAAAAGTCTGCAAATCATTCATACATTAAAATGCAGGTATAGCAAATTGACAACCTCCCATATGAAAAATTTTTGTATAAAGAATTTGTATAATTGGTATATGCTTTATACTACATAGTTAAGAAATGGTAAGATTTTTAAGTTTTTAAGTTCTTATTGAATAAACTAATTTAAAAAAAAAAAAAAAAAACATGATTATGCATACAAATTCGACCCTTAGTTATAATTACATTAATTTCTGTTTTATTATTTAATTTATACACTTGACTGTCTAAGAATATAATACTTTGTTGCTATGCTTATTCAATTATTATGTTGGTATTATTTAAAAATCATTAAATATTTGCATTTGCACCTGGCATGAATGTCAGCTGAAAATAATAGTAAAAGTTTATAATACTTACATCAAACTGAGAAGATAATATTTTGGCTTTTTTACTAAGTGTCGGACCAACGGCATGAAAATTTTTATCTCGCAATTCAGCGTAGAGCTCTTCTGTAGAATTTAACAGAAACTGTTTTCTTTCTGTGGGAATTTCTTGCGTGCCTTTCTCACTTGAAGAAGCAAATTTTTCTGGTGGTACTTTGATTGTATCTGAATATTTTAAAGATAATATAATTAAATATTTAAATAAAACTTTTAAATTCTTAAATAACTGAAACATTTTCAATAAAATAACAATTAAATTTAAATAAAACCAATTTAAACATTAATCACCATAAAATAATTTACAGTTAAATTATCTTGATACTGCTCTTTAATAATTTTCACTTTGAAAAAAGCAGTTTTAAAGATTTTTTTCAAGGATTAATTGTAAATTAATCTTTTAAAAAGTTTTTAAAATTATTGAAGAGAATACCAAAGGAAACATATGAAAGAACTTCCATTTAAATGAAAGAATATAAAGAATGTCATTAAAAATTTGCCATTGTTTAATGCCATACTTAATCAGATATGCAAATAGTTTACTTCAATTTGCATATTCTTGGTATAATGTTTAATACATGATGCATTATAGGCATATTTCCTATAGATTTTAGTATTTGCTTATCTTGTTGATAATCATAAAACCCTTTTTGAATAAACTTTAGGTTTGTCCAAAACAAATCTTTAATAAGTCAATATTTGATTGTTCTTTGTTAATACAATCTAAATTGAGTGATGATAAACTTTTCAATGGACATTTTTTGGATTTATACTGTAAGAAAATATTAAAGATTACCTTGTAATCTACAAGGTAATCTTTAATATTTTCTTTTTAACTCTTTCTGCACTGTGGGCACTAAGAGGGCATTTTTTAGGAAGCATATTGTAGGTTTGGCCAGACCCACAATGAAGAAGTTGAGATGAGGGATGGGACCCAACATATCTGGATGGACCACTTCCTGAAAAATTCCTGGGGTTTTCTGAACACTCCATATGTAGTAAAGGTAGACCTATTCTATCATTTAAAAATGATGTGTCAAATATGCTCACAGACCATTTGGTCTGTGAGCATATTTGACACATGTTGTGTTCCAGGCTGGGGGCCATAGTTTGGGCACCATTGTTTTAGAATATAATCATGAAGTTACATAGAATCTCAAGTGGGAGAATTATTCTTTCTATAGTAAATTGAGTGTTAATGTTTGCTTTTCAAGTGGTTCAATTTCTGTCTGAAATTGAACCACTGAAAGTCTAAAGTCTTTTGGCTGGAGTTGGAGCACAGCTCTGCACATAATAGAAGTTATCTTTAGACTTAGTTGGAAAATTTTGCATTTCTACAGTCCAGATCAGTCTACTGTGTAATTATCACCTGTTTGGCCATTTAAAGGAAGCTTTGGGAGACAGGAAACTTATCCAAATACTGTAGTCTCTCTGACTTCAGCATGACAAACTCTCTGACTTCAATGAGTTCATCACACAGTGGTTCACTCTGACATCAGCCAACAGACTATTTTGCAGACAGCATCATTGACAAAATGTCAGCATATGGAGAGGGAGAATCTAGAGAATAAAACATAAATTGGGACTATGCAACATGTACAATTCTATTGCCATGAACAAAATTCTGGACAGAAGTTGAACCACTCTTGTATTTGAAACATTTTGTTTACAATGCTTTAATGGTATCCTTATCATTCATACATAATTTTAATACACTATGTATCAATATATTGTAAAATATGTTGTAGTGTTCAATACATAAGATAAAATTTAAGTTTCCTATTAGTAAGTTCATTTTGAGTTGAAGTTGAGATACATGTAATGAGAAATATGTTTATGATGTCAAATGTGTTTTTAATCAATTTATTCAATGTAATTTGTTTCTGTCATTTAAGTGTAATGTCAATTTTCAGTAAGCTTAGTGAATGATCTATTCTTTACACTGCAATGAATGTCTTTGGCAATCCTGCACCATTCAGTCAGATTATCATCATAATTACAATGATTATAACTCTCTAGATTTTATGTATGATATGCAATGGAAGTTAAAATGAGTGTGTTCAAATCATAAAAATGCAATTTGGTATTTTTAAAAAAAAAAAAGGTATCTACGTAACATTTTGATCCTAGATTAAGAAAATGCATAATGGTACAATGACAAAACAACTAATACTTAAATTATGAAATTATAAATTTTACTTACTATTTTGTATTCCAAATATTTCATCCAAAAGACCTTCGTATGTTAATTGGGTTGCTAGAGGTGACAACAAATCAACAGATCTATCCAACAACAATAAATTATGAATTTGAGAAGTGATTTGAGGTTCATTCCCAGCTTGCTCCCGTCTCATTCTCATCATCAAATCAAATACATGCTGAAAAAAATTTAACTTAATTTTATAAGTGGAAAAAAGTTATTCATGCAGAATGTTTGAAAAGTCCATCTTAACTGTTAATAAGAATACTAGATTATATGTGATAGAACTTTTAAAATATCACCCCAAAAATTCAAAATCAAAACTATTTGATTAACTATTATGCAAGTCTGCATATATCCTTGTATTTATTCTGTTGAAAATTTGACAAACAGAATTATGGTTCTCAATAAATCTTAGTTTTTATTCTTTTTTCTTCTTTTTGTAAAGCCATGTCTAAATATTAAGTGAGATATTGTTAAAGAGAAAATTTCAAAAATGTATGACTATAATCTCAAAAGATTATAGTAATACCATGATTTTACCCTAAACATTATCTTTAGAAGTTTTTTAACTTGTTATGACAACAAATTTACCAACAGTTCTGCTAGCAATAAGCTTATATATTTCCTTTGTATTTTTCTCAATACTTATATACAGGGGGTGCAAAAGTAGGTATACAGTAGAGAATCTGAGAAAATGACCACCAAACATTTGTATATTATTATTTTTATTATCTTTTATTAATTCGTATTTTTTATTTGTGATTTAATTTATACATAAAAATATATGTTTTTTCTTCCTATTTTCTCCCTGTATGTTTTTTTTCCATAATAACAACTGTATACCTACTTTTGCACCTCCCCTGTATAGTGTAAATATAGATAATATATTATTATATTTTATTATATTGCGTGGATAGGCATTTTTATACATTAAATACAGTTTAAAAATTCTCAGTAAAAATAAAACGCATTTTTAACTCACTGAGAAATGCTGATATAGAGGACCATAAGCTAAGGCTTTAAACCACTCCTTAAATCTTTTAAGATTAAGAAGTGGTTTAAAGCGCTAGCTTAAAAACTTTCATAGTTTTGTCAGATATATTTATTGAATTTTATTATTTGTTTAATATATCACACAATAGAAGTATTTAAAAATTAAGTTGATATAAACAATACTAAACCCAAGAGTTTATTGCTGAAATGAACAGACAGACGGTATAATGATGATGATCATCATCCTCATTATGATAATTCACTCAGGATTAGGTAAATTACCTGTTCCAGCTTCTAATTGATCCCACCGTCTTGTTATTGATCTTCCTTTGTCTCTTCCGCCTTTTGGTTAATTTTATCTTATGAAGGATTATAGGAGAAACTGGAAATGATCATATGAATATTTCTTCATGTATGTATTTTATCATTAATTAAAAAAGTCAATTTCAATAATTATTTTTGCTGTTCTTATTCAAAATGTTTAATATATTCTTTTTATTTTATTATTGATATTAGGTATCCCAACCTTAGAATCTGCACTATTAATCATCTCTAGCAGATTCAAATAACACACTATTAATCTTACACACGCATCATATGGACACGACACAACATACTCGTACAAAAAGCATAAACATCATTAAGCAATCGTAGGCTCAAAAGGCACTACATGGTAGACATGCCTACGACCTGTCCCCTTTTTAGTTGGAAAACTGCGTCGAACAGCTGGTTAGCTTTGGGATGCCTCTTGGGGAGATAGGATTCATGATTGCCATACAGGATCAGGTCATAAATACTAAAAACTACAGAAAACACATACTCAAAGATACAACACTCACAAATGACACAGGCAGAAAATGTCACATCATGAAAAAACTATACAACACATCACTTCTGGTTGCAAGCTCTTGGGAACAGACAGATTATTTGCTTAGACGTAATCAAATACCAAATATAATAGGCTACACCAAGAGCTTGCAAAGAAACATAAATTATTACACATTCACGAACCATACTACAAATACATTCTACAGACAGTATTGGAAACAACACGCACAAAATATCTATGACAGAGCCATGATCAGAGATAAAACAATTTACCACAACAGACTCATACTCATCGACAAACATACTCGTTGAAAAACACAATAAAAGCACATACATTATAGACACATCCATTCCAAACACTCACAATGTGCAAAACAGATGCACTGAAAAAGTTAGCAAGTACACAGAACTCGCCCAGGTAATAAGGCATCTGTGGAGGATGGATAGGGTGCTTATTGTACTTGTCGTTCTCTCCTGTACAGGTGTGATACTACACACATTACACAATAGCCTGGTATCATTACAGTTAAAAACACGTATATCACACTATTCAGGAATTTCCTAACATGACATATTGAATATATGTCATGTTAGGAAATTCCAGAATATAGACACACTCACTGACAAATTTATTTAATTTTTGTCTTGTTTNTATAAAAAGTCAATAAATATTTTGAGATGGTATGTACGACGTTATCTAACTTTGCAGTACATAAACGGAACTGCCGAGTTTCGTAGCAATTGGTCTAAACGCCTGGGAGTATGTAACGAACAAACAAACATAGATATAGGCTAGTTACTCATTTTATCAGAAAAAAAAATTTTTTACTGATGGAAAAATTGAAATTTAAAAAAAAAAAAAAATTGTTATTAACCGAAATTCTAGAGGGTCATTATTGTTCGGTCGAGAATTTGATTATCGCGATTTTGTTATACGCGGTAGCATCGAAGAATTAATTAACCGCGTTAATCAAGAATTTCTGTACATTACTGTACAATATTCAAGAATGTACAGTACGTACGATGCTTTTTTTATACTTTGCGGGCACTACTGTGGGTGAACCACTTTTGCCTCCTGGCTATCAATATTTTCGGACCCAGTACGCCACTCCCAACCAACAATCAACTCCGTAACAGTAAAAATGAACATTTTTCAAACATTGTGAACACGAAAGTAAATCATTATCCAAAATTTTTAAATTGCAGACACAACATGAGAAGGAACGACGGTTAGCTTAGTCATACATCAAGGACACCAAGCCTGTCACGTGTTTACGTGTTAAATAAAATATAATTATACTGTATCAGAGGTGTTCGGGCCGGACGGGTTAAAATTAGTGTTGCAACGAATAGTATATTCGTTGCAACACTAATTTTAACCCGTTGCAACTGAGGCCGAATATACTATTCGTTGCAATTCGGTATTCGGCCATGCTCCTGGCCGAATACCGAATATTCGGCCAGGAGCGTGGCCGAATAGCCGAATATTCGGCCAAACTATTCGGCTTGATTAACGCACGTACGAAAATTGGCTCGCAAATCACATTATGGCAAGGACCCTGCTCTCTATTGGCCCGCTGTCACTACGCTTCGCCAATCGCGTTAATTCTTGACAGTTGTAGCGGACAGACATCAGCGTAATGGCAGTATGTGATAAATGATGATATCAAATGTGAATAACAACGAAATGACCTACACGTGTAAATAACGGGAAAAGAACAGAGAAGAACCGCGAAGTGAAAATGTGAAAATAAATATGAAATTGAGTCGATAACATAATCGAACAAGTCGAGGCAGTTTATTGGCGCGAAATTCGCCGCCGTCAATGCCAAATAACTGTTCTCATAGATTTCGGAAAGCTAAATGCTTGTAATGAAAGTCATTTAGCGTGCACCGGCAAAAGCCTGGGGCCGTTCGGGCTACCAAGCTGTCTGGAATCTGTGAAATCATAACTGTGATTTATACCGACGTCCTATCTGTCTCTTTTCTCCATTATCAACAGGCTATGAGTCACGTAATTGTAAAATGGGAACTCTACGACGGAAAAGTGATGAATCGAAAGTATCGTGAGGGCGTATTATGATGTATGCATAGGCATGCGTGGACTAGAGCGTTAGAGGAAAGAGAAAGGGAAGAGCAAAGACGAGCGCTTAAAAAGAAGGATAGGCAGGGTCAGACCCTTAGATGTGCAACGATTCTCGAACGAATAGATGTGTACCTGTACATGTGCTGATCTTTGTAATTATAAATTGTGAATCCATGTGACTAATATTATTTTCTTTTTTATTTTGTGCATGTTATAAGTTATAAATAAATATAAACAAACAACACTAACCCGATAACATTAAATCTAAATACCAAAATGATTAATTTACTGTCTTTTTATTTCTTACTTCCGTTTTTGGATATTCGGTATTCGGCCGAATAGTGATTAAATATTCGGTATTAGGCCGAATACCGAATAGTAACCAATATTCGTTACATCACTAGTTAAAATGTACTGTACATCTAAACTGTGTTATTTATGTCTTGTTACTATTAGTATAATACTATACATTTATAAAATATGTAAAACGTATGATGATAACATACAAAATTCTTTAGAATCGACTCTCGTACGCAATTCGTGTCATTATCCTACATTTTGATATCAGGAAACTTTTAGGAGGGAAAAATAGGTGTTATATTTATTAATCTTATCTGCGTTGGTTGTCAACTTTCGAAAGCAAACATTCGAGAACTGAATAAAGTTCAGTGCAAAACGTGTCAGAAAGGTTCAACGATTGGCCAGAATCTTTAGCAAACAAAATCAGATCATTTGAGATGCAAAACTGAATCAGAAGATCACGTTTTTGAGGATTGCCGCACGCTTAATTATACAACATTAAGTAACGAGAAGTCATGTGGCATGCGACAAGGCGAAAGAACTTCTGCTCCTGTTTACACTTCCATAGGGCATCTGCCAAGAGGTTATATCGTGTTGCAGTCTTTTTTGTGAATGTGGACAAGAAAAACATTTCCGAACGTACAGTGGTACGTTCAGAAATGTTTACGAACTACTTAAACTTATTTACATTCCTCTGTATTACGTTACATAACGGTGTTAAAGACAAAGTACAGTCGCAAAAACAGGCCTAAAAGGTAGAAATATTTGATATACTCCAGTAAAGTTTGTATGAAAAGAAATCTTGTCATTGTTTTACGTTTACATCGTGATATTTTGTGGATTACAGACGAATTAACTTTATTAACCTTGTACTATATTTATCGGCCTTCTGTAAAGTTGACTTCCAGGTGTTATACTGATTGAAAAAATTATCGGAATGGGATTGTTTCCGTCAAAATTTTTGTTTGTACCGTGATATTTTGGAAGCTACAACCGAATTAACATTGATCTATAATTATTATTTCTAATTAATTATGCTCCTATGTCCTTAATACTATTATAAATTCTTATCGTCTACTAGGATTTCCGTATATTAATTAATATGATTTATTATCGATCACACCAGTATAATAAGAAAGACTTTCCTCGTGTTAATTTTCAGGTAAGTTTCAGGTGTCACGCAGTTAAATATTGCAAATATGTAGTGATATTAGAACTTACTCCCCTCCTCAATTTATAATTTGGCAACAATCTAATGAGTTGCCAAAACCAACCAATTGGAGGAAAACAAAAAAATTTGTTGGAAGGGCGGTTGGATTTTTTGGCAAGAAAAGGGGAGAAAAGGAAGGATGAGTAATCACAGATAGTTTTTCGTCGATATGGGCGAGGACAAAAAGACCCGTTCAAGCAGCCTGAGGAACGTGTTTGAATTGTCCTTTCTTAACATGTACAAATCTTCTGATACTTTCTGGAATGCTTTCGTTAAAGTAACAAAAAGCAAGACAAGAAAGGAAGCCAGATACGGTAAACCACCACTAATCACAGTTATATAACTTCCATTTTCATAATTAGTCTAAGTTAGAAGTATGTAAACGTAACTGACGAGTTTCGTAGCAATAGGTCAAACGGCCTAGGAGTGTATAGCGAACAAACAAACAAATATTCTCATTTATATATATATATATATAGAGAGAGAGAGAGATGAGACAGATAGATTACAAATATGATCACNCTCAAAAGATGGCGCCACGAGTAGTAGTTTTCATTTATTTTGATAACTTTTTAAAAACTTTTCTATGTTTTACTGTAATATAGATATAGATATAGATAGATAACTTTTTAAAAACTTTTCTATGTTTTACTGTAATTCTACATTCTTTTACAACGTCTTCAATACAAATTTTCAAAAAAATTTCAACAAAAATACCTAAAGATGTTCTAAATTAAGCCAAAAGTACTTATAAATCATTTATGAATCTGTACGAATGTTATAATAAATAAAATAAAACTGTTTAGAAGAATATTTTTATAATATGATATTTTAGTAGTCCTATAAATCGTAGAAAACCTGAGTCTCCATATTAATAAGACAAGAAAGAAAGTAGAAAATCTAAACAAAAAA